TCTCCTGCTAGCACAGGCAGCTCCTCTAGCACTCTCAGATTCTCAGAGCACACACCCTCTACCTCCACAGTGAGCCTTGTACCCACTGAGGGTCCCCAAATACAAAGTCCCTCAAGTGAGGGGTGAAAGCCGAGCCAGTGCTTAACAGCATGTAGCTTGAACATCTGCCCCATTAAATACCACCCCAAAGACCACAGCAACCCCTTCATGGCCTCAGTGTCCTCCAGAGCAGTGACCACCACCCAGGCTCAAGCTGAAGAGTAAAATGCCAGATTCCAGCACCGTGCACACAGTCCAAGCCCTGGGGTAGAAGCCTCATCCCCCAAAACACTGCCAAGGCCCATGTCATCTACCTATGGGGCTGGAGGCCAGTCAGCCCGCAGACATCAGAGCAGGTAGAGACCAAAGACACACCTGAAATTGTCTCTGGTGGGCCAACACGTAGGCGCTGTGAGTACCCTAAATGGTAGCTGCAGATTTGTGCCATCCCAGCACAAAAGGCCAGCACCTAGTGGTCATCACTGAGTTCTTTAACCCAACCTTGGTAAACAAAATGTTTTAGGTGGCAGTGCCTATACTTGGGGCATCCTTTTTGGTCACAGTTTTGGTTTTGTTTGCCCTGCAATCCTATGAAAGTTACAAGAAGAAGGATTACACACAAATGTACTATCAGTGGCATGTATGCAGTCTCTGACATATGAGTGCAGGCTGGTCTGGTCTGTGACCCCCAGGCAAGACCAGCCTGTTCCTCAACCTTCCATTTTGCCCCTGAGACCAAACTGTGTGCTTCCAGATCAGTGTGGTACAATTTTGGAGATACCACATGCTTAGATACATTAAACTGCTGTCAGATTAATTTCATGATCGGGTAAGAGTTGCTGCCTTTTCATATTTATTTTTGAAATGATCGTGAGGCAAGACAGGTGGTGACTCTGCCATGGGGTGCACTGGGGTGGGCAGAAACCCTGCACCACTTGCCCCTGGAATGTCAGACCATAGCGAGAATTAAAGCAATGAATGCTCTATTTTAAGTCACTATTAGAAAACCTGGCCATCCAGGTGTGGTGGCACACACTAGTAATGCCAGCACTGGGAAGGGTGAAACAGGAGAATCGCTGAAGTTCAAGGCCAGCTTGGGACACATAGGGTATTCAGGGCCAGCCAAAGTTACATAGTGAAACCCTGTGTCAAAAAAGAAAAAAAAAAAATCTTGTTAAAGCATTGAATGGCCTTTAAATACTTTAGTCTGAAAATTTTCAAGTTTATGGAAAATTTAATGAATATTTTAGTGATAATCTGATAAGATATGCTTTGTGAGCTCACTAATGCAGATGGAGGAGTAATTGGAAATGATGTTATTGACCTCATTTTTAAAGAAAAATACATTATTTGAAAAGTTACATATTTTGTTTTTATTCAGCAGTAAGGAACAATGAAGTCATGTCAGTTTTAAGAAAAATGGATGGGGCTAGAAACCAT